CTGCAATGAAAAATGTCACAAAATTGTCCAGCATAAATTCTTCATCTTCTTCAGTCATGTTTTCCTCTGAAATGAGGAGAGAATGGACAGATACATCGATATTTAACTTCTCCTGGTTTCCAACATTACTTACAAACCACATGAGAACTGAGAAGGCATCAAAAACTGTGGGTGACATTTTTGTTCTATTCACTTTGTCTCATCACAAAGAGAATAAAATATTGCTCTAGTCTAGTCTAATGTGAAATTTGGGAACTCCAACCTTGGCTTGCAGTTTTGATGATTTGTGTCAGGATGTCTTTGGGGACCTCGTCACCGTTTTGCATGGCGGTCTTTCTCTCACTGATCCACTTGGCTCCAGTTGTACGGAGCAGGCGGCACGCTTCCCTCACCTCATTAACGTATCGTCTGTTCTTTGGATTGAACTGGAATGGCAGACTGAAGGGTTTAGCCTGTCATTCTGATAACAGTGTTGTTGGCAGACATACTGCATAATAACAAATGCTGAAGTAATACCTCAAAAAATCTGTCTCTAAGGTAGGTAACCATTCCTTTCAGACATGTTTCAATGGCTTTAGGGAAAGGTGAACTATTCTTCAAGAGGTCCAAGTCCACCCCAAAGGCAACCTGTTATCAAGATAAGACATGCACAGCAATTCACTCACGCTTAGACCATGATTGTAGCCTTTATAAAAAGTTAGAAAAGTAAACATGAATAAATAAACATGTTTTTTATTCTTCAGTATTAAGAAAAAAAACAGCATGTTAAGGAAGCTCTAAAAACCTTAGTAATAACATCCAGAGTGACACAGTTGATGAGATGGAGCATATTAGCTTCTTTTTTACTGTCAGCAAGCTCTGCAAGTTTATCCATCAGTTTCTCTGCTGTCTCATTGAAGGTTCCCATTAGACCTCTCAGATACCTGGAAAAAACAAAAGTTTGATACAGAGGAACAGCGACTGAAGGATTAGTTGCTGTTCGTTATTATAATTTCATAACTCACAAGCTGCTGAATGCAGGGTCCATGATGCGTCGCTGTTTGTACCACCGCTCATGATCCCGTGCTGTTATCAGACCATCACCTAAAAACCTTGAAGACAGTTAAGACAATGATTTAAAAAAAAAATCTGTGTAGTGACTTCAAGAACAAAATAAATGTCGCTGAGGGGCAAAAGAATCCAAAACTCAGTGATAATAAAGAAATAATAAAAACATTAAAGAAATTATAGCAACACATTCACCCTCTCTCCTGCCAGGCGGGCAGGTGCCTGATACTGGCAATCAACACTGTCCCAACCAACCACAAAAATATTATGCAATGAGTTTCATGATATACACCAACCCTGCAAACATCACTGTTAAAAATTACGATAGACAGCATGAAAATGTCATCATCATAAATTCGTACATGGCTCCTATAATATGATCACTGAGATCAGGAGTTAAAATGCTAAGATGTGACGCAAGAAGAGTATCACAACATGGTAATACTATCAAGTTCTATTCATTATGACTAATAAAGTATGCACACATAACTACAATAAAGTCACTCAGATAACAGTGTTGGGAAGGTTACTTTTAAAATGTATTCCATTACAGATTACATGCCCCAAAATGTATTCTGTAACGTATTCCTTTACGTTACTCAATGAGAGTAACGTATTCTGAATACTTTGGATTACTTAATATATTATCATGCTGTTTACAACTACATGAATGTACTATTGCTG